GATCATGAAGTGCCAACACATAAGATCTGTGTGGCCTCTAGGAGGAGCATTCTAAGCACTGACCTTTGTCTTTGCACCTGAAAACTGATGGTACGGGAGACATAACTGCAAGTGCATAAAGGCTTGTCTGTATGGCCTAGCCTAGATAGTTTACAGTTAACCCTAAGAGGGAAGGGGAGCCACACAGCTGTGAGTTCAGGTAGCAGCACAGTATTTTGAAGGACCACTGACTCTTATCTCAACCACATACCAAAGCCCAACACCCATCCGGTCCCTGGCTGGAGCATGTGGAAATCAGACCTCTTCCTTTGCTATGTGAAAGTGTTTTATATCATTGCCACCTTCTTGGCTCTCTGGTTTGTCAGCACATCCAACTATGCTGATTTAATCCTACTTCTGCCCTCAGGAGGGAGGGGACAAATTAAAATGTGTTCCTCCTTTTATTTGGCTGTTCAGTCATAGCAAACACGAAGTAACCGACCACACTTATCTAGACAAAGCCTTTCTCTTGGAGTTGGACAAAGATGTTTTTTCTCCTGAATTCCCTCACGCTCACTTGTCAAACATTTAAGTGAATACTCATCTTGACCAGAAGGATAACAAAGCTTTTTGTCCAGGTGTCAATACATCTGGTGGAAAGATTGCAACATGAAAAATTAGTTCTGATTCTTTCCATGCTGGGAAAATTCTAAGTGTCCACTTAAGGAACACCCATGCTGGGACAGGCTGTGAGGCAAAAGTTTGGAGACAGAGCCACAAGGACTATTGAATATCTTGGCCTTCACCATCCTGCCCATCTGTTCAAACTCTGCTCAGAACTGTGTCTTTAACTAAACAGTGACAACTTAAGACCAAAGTTTGTGATATTTAGATTCATATTAAGAAAATGTATGATTTGCAAGAGACAGGAATTGGGCAGGATTTAGATACTGATTCAGAGTCACATGAACACAGAGCCACCCAGAGACTCCTTTTATTGTGTTTCCAGACTGTGCCACAAAACATAAAGATGGAGAACACTTTCAGAATACAGACAAAATCTGCTTGAGTCTTGTATATCCCCTGTGAAAGAAACTCAGTTATTCTCAGCAGGGATTAGAGTCAAACCTTATTCTGTAGCTAACTCTCCCAGTCTGGCCTGAGTTGCCCCGTTGTGACCAACTGTCCTTAATTAATGAAAAGGAGCAGGCAGATACCCACTTTGCCAGCTCCATCATTACCTCCTTTTTATGGGTGCTGCCAGACTCTGCATGCATCTTAGGACAAGCCTCTGTCACGCCCAAGAAGTGGAATTTAACCTTCCTGGTATCACCACAAACGAGGTCTTATAGCTTAGTGCTCTAGGGCACTAAAGCCAACCAGCCAGCTCACCCTTTGCGTTCCATTTCTTTCAAAATGACACTGGTGTAATTGTCCTAGCTGGAAATGGAGGTGATTTAATGCCTTAAGAACTGAGTAAAGCTCTGTAACCTTGCTCCAGCCCTATTCAAGCACTATTCCTAATTTACTGGAACGAAGAGGACTGTGTGGGAGGTGCTTCAGTCCAGTTTGACAAAACAACTGTTAAATATCAACAGTAGTTAAAAACATGCTGCCAGTCAGCACCTGCTCCATCCTTGTTGCATCCTCCTGGACTCAGGTTGTGCACTACTTCAAGTCCCCCTTAGGATTGCATCCCACCTTCCCCAGAACAAACGTCATTTATCTTTCTTGAAGAATTTGCATCATCTCTGTATTTTAAGGCTGAGGCAGAGCCCAGAGACTGAAATCGGGCTGGGTGCTGAGAGCAGGGAGCCTAACGGAGCCTGCCCAGCACAGCTTGCAGTGTGGTGAAGCAAGGCAAAGGCAGATTGGCTGTACACTGGCAATGTGTCTAGGGTGCAAGTTAATGCTGTTGTTAATTAAATCTTTCTCCTCCCTCGTGGAAACTCTCTGTCCAAGGATCCTCTGCAGTCCTCTTCAACAGCTTTGTGAGAGACATCCCATCACCACATCCCTTTACAGCACTAGCTTTTAAAAATGATCCCAAATGCTTCTATCGGTTAAAAAACAGAACCTGAGATATTGTAAGTAAATGATATTAAGTAATTTCCTTTGCAGGAGAGGAAAGGGTAAACCCTGAGGAATTTGCCCACAGCTTAAGCACTGGTATTGAGGTCTATCATTTCTCTACCAACCTTTCACACTGCTCTTTTTCAGGTCTAAATCAATCCCAACCCTCTATTACCCTTCACAGATACATCATGTAGAGCCCAAAATGACAAATGGACATTCAGACTACCTTGTTGGGAACAATTTTAAAAGATTTTTTCCTCCTCCATCCCAGATTATGTATGCAGTAGCTGTATACATAGACCTCAACCATCAGCTATTAGCTGGTTGAGAAATGGGGTCACCCCATGATGCACCCCAGTAGCTACAGCTCAGTGATACAGCTCATCACTAAAGGAGAATTGATGAGTGCCAGGTACACTTTAGCATATAAAACACTCCCCACCAAATTCAGCTCAAAAAAGGTAAAGCAAAACGAAAAGGGTACAAACGATCACGAGCGAAGCATTAAATCAGCTGGGGCTAGACTCCTTTTTCAACCTTATTGCAATGCAGCTTCTGGAATAAAAAGATTGCATTGAATCAGTGCAAGTGGAAAATTGGTTTGACCCAAAAAAAAAAAAAAAAAAAAAAAAAAAAAAAAAAAAAAAAAAAAAAAAAAAAAAAAAAAAAAAAAAAAAAAAAAAAAACAAACAAGAAAAGCAGGGGAAGGAGGGAGCTGTGTGGTGGGAAAGATTCTTTGAGTAATCTTTTTTTTTTCCTTAATTGGAGAATTGAAAAGTAAATTAAGAGGTTGGCAAATTTTCATCAAAACATTTCAATAGTCAAAGCCTAAATTCTGGTTTAAGTTTTCTTTACAAATGACCATACCCTCTGAAGAAATGTCAATAATATGAGAAAAAGTTGATTTTGTTTTCATTTTCCACAAAAAAGCCGCATCTTCAGTGCAACTCTCATTTCATTCTGTACCAGTCACAAGCTCCATGGGCAGATATTTTCTCCCTCAAATAACTCCTCTCCATTAAAACTTTCTTGGGGAAGAAGGAATAAGACAAAGAAGGATAGTAATGGAGTCCCAATAAGGGGTAGGACAGAAGAAAAGAGGATGAAAGTACCCAGCAAATTGACGGAGAGAGAGAGTAGGAAGTGTGAAAGAAAGAACAGCGTTGTTTTTGTCTCCCCCTTTTCATCACAGTAAGTTTAATTTTCTTAATCCATTATAGAAAGCTCAACATGTTTACGGTTTTAAGTGGTAAAGACAAAGCCTGGGAAGGGAAACAGAGTAAAGTAAGTTGTATTAGGTCACAGCCTGTTTCATCTCCTGAATCCAAGCCCACACCTTTGCCTACAGTACTTTGGCTTTTACTGTCATTCACTGATCTGCTGCCCATTAGCTCTCTAAGCAGCCTGTAACAAGATAACAATATAGATACAGAGAGATATCTACAGCCCACACAACTTTTCAGTTAGCCAAAGGAGATCTAATATTTTGAAAACTATTACCCACATACAATAGTTCAGAGCAATGCTGTTTGGAAACAGAGGGTTCAGGAACAGGGAAATATTTTCGGTAAAAAATGTTCTCTTCTACATTTCTTTCAGAAGAAGACATTTTTACAGACAACCAAAATGGATTCATGCCCTGTTTTCTTTCCAAAACATTGTTTCTTCCCTGAAAATACATGTGAATTTTTGATAGAGGCATTTAGCTTGTGCATAGTATTGACTATTTTTTCCTTAATACGCCTGCGCAATTTATCCCTCAAGATGTCCTTATCACAAAACCATCCAATCATGCAGGGTAACTGAAATACTACAAATGAAAACAAATAAGAGAGTTTTTTTCTGGGCCACCCCTTGCCCTGCAAAGCTCCCTTAATCCTGCCTGTGCAGATGGGAAGCAGTCTGACACTGCTGCCAAAGAAACTTTCATAGCTGCTAGCAGAACTTGTTGGCTGTCAAAGACCTGGCTTCAATGCTACTGGACAAGTGGGCACAAAAGGGCAGCGCTGGGAGCACTCTAGGCACTGAGTATGCACCAATTTTTGGAGGGCAAAATAGTTATAAAACCTCATTGCTGCTTGGCTGCCCGGCTGATTCAGGTGCATCCCTGCAAGCTCTGGTGGCTTGCGAAGCACGTGGGTGAAATGTTTGCTTTGTCTTGACTTGGCCCAGTGAGCACATGGCAAACATCCCTGGTACACTGGGTTCCTCCTCAAAAGGGTACGTTCCATTCTCCTGAGAGCTTGGCAAGGAGCAGCAGTGAGCTGTGGGCATTTGTGCCCAGCCCAGCTGAGTGACGTGCCTGTGGTGCTGGTGCCCAAACCCGTGGCTCGGGGAACAAATGAGGCAGCAGGCTCTGCTGGGGACACCATCACCCCGACAGCTGGGTGGCCTTTTATGCAGGGACAGCCCTGCTCAGAAACCAAGTGGTGAGCTTTTCTTTCAACCTTTGAACAGTCCTTTGGCAGAGAGCTGAGTGTTTCAGTATACAACTTCTGGAGTCTGGAAGTAGTTCAGATCTGGACTACAGCATGCAGAGACACTTTTAGAGTCATAGGGCATGGGGACTGTGTATGGTTTAAGCAGAAATCTTCTAAGCAAACTTGCTTCTGATTTAGTGGTTCCAGACTGCAAAACGTAAAAACATAAATCATCCAATTAGCCATAGAAAGAATTCTAGGAAATACCTTTCAAAGTCTTACCAAAATCCCCTGTTATTTAACTGCATTTTCCTCCCTTTTTTCCCCCACAAATATTGCAGATGAACATACATTTCCCAATAAGATTTCAACAGGTTTTTACAGAAAGTGAATTTACCACTCCTGGCTGTGGGTACTTTTGGTGAAAATCTCAGGGTTGCAGTCATGTAGCCATGGAAGAGAAATGATATTTTGACTATCTAAATGCTCATAGGCAAGCTACAAATAAATGATTATACACAGAAATTACAAGCAGCATTATTTCAAACAACAAACACATTCAAGAACATCCAGGCAGGCTCACAGATAGTTTGCAAACAGATAAAAGGCCAAACACTTCCATTCAGTAACTTGCTGTAGATTATTCACGCAGCTCTAATAACAGTCCCCTGTCTCCATGAGACTGCATCAGATGCAGTCCAAAACTGGGATGGTGGTGAAAGCTTCCACTCTATCACTATGAAAACCCAGAGTCCAAGCTGGTTGTTTTACCCATTCATTTCTACAAAACAAAAGAAAAGGATGGGATTATCTTCCCAGAGTTTGTTTTGGAGTTGCTTCATTTCAGTGGTATGCAGACATTTTCCCTGTGGTTTCGCAGGGTGACCAGGAACACCTGTTAACTTTAAAAGAAAAACACAAAATCCCTGAAAGTTTTGTTTGGTTAGGTACGATTTTTTTCATCCTATTTCTGTTTTTTACGTTATGACAGCAAACACAGCTTGTAACAAACATTGTTTGGAAGTTGTAAAAAACCAGTAATTGCTGTTGATGGGTGGCTGGTTGCACAGCTATGACAAATGGCCTCCCAATGGCTACACTTAATGCAGCCACCAGGCTCTTGGCCAAACCCCCTCAGCAGCTCACTCCCTCCCACCAGCACTCCTCAGAGGTGGCATCCACCTCCCAGCTGTTCCCCTTTCCCCTGCTGATGCCATGAAATACTCCCACACCATGCCTGGGTCTCAGCCAGCTGGGATGCACACCACGAACATCCATCAAGCAAGAGCAGCGGGCACTCTCCCACAAGGTAGGGAGCTGAAAATGAGCCCTGCCAGCCTTTGGGTGTTCCCAGTGGGGCTTCTTTTGCTAGAGGCAGTTGAGGATATTGATTTCCCTGGTTCAAGCCCGTCATTTTCATCCTTCGTGGCCAGTGTGGCTGAAGAAAATAGTTTAGGCTGGTGGCATGCACTGCTATTCACCTTGAAATGCTCCTGTCTTTCTCCTGGATTTGTTGGTCACAGTTTCACATTTTCCATGAACCAGACAGTGGTTTGACCTCCTTCAGCCTGGGGGTTTTTTAGCAGCAATTCATCTACATGACTGTCATATATGGGTCAATTTGGGAGCTGAATGACCATATTACCATAGCCCTGGACCCAAACTCACATCACTGGCTCTGCTCTTCACACCAAAGCAGTACAACTATAGTGATTCTATGCTGGCTCTGGTTAAAGCCTGGCCCACTCAGCAATGCTGACAGAGGCATTGCTTGAAGGATTTGCTAATAAGCCTGAATTAAATGCTACACAAGCTTGTGGCTTTTTGCTACAAGACAAAAACTATGATGCATTTGAGCACTTAAACAATGCATCCATGCTGCCAACCAGCCTGCCAACAGTGTCCAGGGGCCTGCCCCTCAGGGCAGGCATACGAGGGGACATGTAAGTCATCGGGGGTCAAGTCAAGGGTGCACATTTGTCCAAGTCAGTCATACAAAACTTTAGCTTATTTTTTGGACTCGAATGGGTGAAACCCAAAGGCATCCTTTCACTGCATGTCAGCTGGGCTGGTAGAAGAGCAGGAGAAGTGCAGGTGTGGGAAGGGCTGACAGAGATGTGTCCTGCCTCAGCCAGCTCCTCTGCTAAAGGAGTACAGCACATGCAAGGCACTTTGAAAAAAGGCTGTTTATCTAAGCAACTGTTCTGCATTTCCTCCATTTCTCATACCACTGGCTTCAATGACCCTACCTTACATGCTATATGGGAGAAATCTATGGTAGTTCTCCACGTCCAGGAAGGAATGCCATGAAGTCATTATTGTCTGAGGGCTGAGCTGCCTGCCAGCCCAGGTAAGAGTGTCCATAAAGATTTTAGCCCATGGGCTCAGCCAGTTCAACTTAGGAGAGCTGCCATGGTCAGGTGAGGAGATCTAGAGTGCTTGCAAGGAAAACCAAATTGTATTACTCTAGAAGGGGCAGGGGCTTCAAGGTCCCTCTTTTCTCCCACTAGCATTTTGGAATACTTACTGTCCTCCCAGGACAATATTGCCCGAGATGGTCATGACTAACTTGCTCTGATCAAGGGTGAAACTTCTGCAAGGAGATCTATCCATCAAAGCAGCCACACTTGCATGGATGCCATTACCTAAGGGTGGAAACTGTCCTGTTCAATTAAGTCATACCTATATATGAGGCAGAGGCTCACAAGCTGTTCCTTGGGTCTATTGATTTGTGTTTCAGCAAAGACAGTCTCTGGTAACAGAGACTAGAAAGTGCCCCATGTGTTCCAGCAGAGCAGGCAGCACCATTAGAGAGCACAATTGCTTGCTCTCCAGCAGGTCTTTGTAAAAACGATGAAGCAGGATGTGTTAAAAACATGTTAACTTGCTGAGATTGCTCTCAAGTTCCTGTTAGACCTAGACTTTTACCAGCTGGCCTGTTTTAAAGAGAATCAAATTACATGCCAAACTGTGTTTAAAATCTTAGGCAGGCCAATACTTTTTCTAGTAGGGCTTGTTTTCTTCCCTATTGGCTACCTCTTGCCTACTGGAACAGAAAAAACAGTTTTAGTTCAAGTTGCAGGATTACTGCATCAAAACTCATTTTGGACCCCATAGGGGACAGACTCCTCATTCACTGCAAAGAGAAAAAAGAGAGAAGAAGTGAGGAAAACAGAAAGTGAGCTGTCAGGAACATCATGTCTGTTGTCTTGGGCTGGGGCATCACCTCCTGCCCACTACTGACACAGTAGCTGCTTCAGCTCGGGTAAGTCATGGACATGTAAACAAACAAAAAAGACCTACCTGAAAACATTTCAGACCTTGACGTTCTGGGATAAAGAAGTGGGAAAAGTTTTTCACTGCATAAGTCACCAAAGTTAGTTCTTTGTTTGTTTTACTTTAAAGCCATCTTTGCTTAACTGTTGCTCTCCTGAACGACGAACAGCCATAAAGGCACCACTGCCATCCATCCTGCCCTCTGCCTCTTGGCCTGGAACATGGACAGCTTTTGTTGAATGAGGGCTGGGCTACTCAAACAGAAAACTCTTCAGAAAACAGGAAGTTTCCAAAAAAAAGTCCTAATTGTTGAAAAAAAATCTTGATAAGCAAGTGTTTTCTCACAATGACTATCACAAAAATTAAAACCTTGCAGATGAAAGTTAATAAATGTTAGGTTTAGACCAAAAATATTTTATGAGGAAAGCAGGCATTTTCTGGAAAATACTCATTTAGCTGAAAGCCTGATTTTTCAATCAAAAAATTAACAGTGAAGTAGCCAGGCATAGCAAAATCACATTACAGTCCAAATACTCTCTTTGTATGTCAAGAGAACTGGAGACACAACAAAATTACCTGTAAGATCAGCAGCAATAGGTTAATGCTTAACACAGGGAGGCTGTTCAGGAGCTGCCATACAAGAGAAACATCTCTCTCCCCAGCCAGCACACACCAGCTCTTTGGTGGCAAAGCCAGTGCCAGGCAGCAGGATGTTTGGACAGTTTCAAAGCAATAGAACTACATTGAATAGCAAACAAGTTTGGACAACACAGAGCGACTCTATGTGGAGCTCTCCTCCTCCTCCATCACATCCTTTGGCCAGCAGAATGACAGCTGCTCCAGGGATGTGGAGGGAGAGCTGAGTTTTGGAACACAGCATCACAGGGGTTGGCCCTAAGCGCTTCATAAACTGCATGGGCAGCATAAAATATGCAAACATACTCACAGAGGGGAACCGTGTGATGTTGCTTAGGCATTCCTAGTCCAAGCAGCAAGCTCTAGGTCCCAGAGGAGGGAGGGAGGAAAATGAAAGTGAGCTTTTCTTTCTGAGCTGCATTAAGTCTCCTCCCTTCCTCAGCTCCAGGACTGAACACAAGGCTCCCTCTGCTGAATCTGCCACACAACTGATGTCTGCTGGATCCAGCATCCTGAGGGAGTTTCCAAAACCCTCCTATCTCCTACACCTTCAACTCACTGCCTAGGCAGGCAGCAAGCCATGGAGGACCTCTAGCCCTTCCACAACTGGGGAAGAAAGAGCTGGAGGTGTAGAACAGGACAACACAACAAATTTTTCTCGGATAAATGTGTATGTGTGTATGTATATACCATGCCATGAACACTTACACATCTCCAAATTCTATTAAAGATCATTGGTGCAGTTTCACTGAAGGATGCTCACTCAGTCAGCCTCAGTGTCTGGGCTGTGGAACTGCAAGCAACTGCTCTAACACTCCTCTGGTTAACTGCAGAGATGCTGTTACCAAGACTGGGATAAAACAATCCCTAAGTTTTAAGGCAGATGTTGGAGACTCCTGTATCAGATGCAGAACAAGTGTTGTCCCAGCTAGAAGCTGAAACATGGTATGAACTGGCAATTTTATTTTGTGATTCTTCCATGTTACCCCGGGAAAATAAAAGAAAAAAATCAAAGTTTAAAAAAAAGTGAGAACGACCTGCTGTATATGTAGAGCTCTTTTTTTCTCAGTGTTACATCACTCCTCACTTGGCTACACATCTTCTTCATAAATGTACTCTGCTGGTTTCAGAGCCTTACATTTCTACATATCCTTCACTTCCATCCCTCTCATGTCATGGTTCTTCAAAGCACAGTCCTTTTCCACCACTAAAAAAAGCACCTTACACTTCCCTAAGTACATTCTTATCTTTCCATACCCCACAGAAAAATTTGAAGTTACACTATCCATTCCCTGTTTCCTTCTTTAACCACGCCCAGGTCTTCTGGTTTCCATTTCTACCAAGTAATCTAGCTAATCTCTGTAAGAAAAGTCTCATGCCTAAACTTGCTAGGAAATCCAATTGAGGCATTAAGCCCCGTATTAGATCCTTTCTCTCCTTAAGTCAAGCATTTGGTACCCACAAATTAAGTGGATTAATCACATGCCTTCTATAGGGTACAGTACAAAAGAGTAAAGTTCCAAAGTACTGTTGCCCATAAGAGCAGTGCTGCAGGATTCCAGATTTCTGTGACCTGTACTCATCCCTCATGCTCAGAAATGTCAAGATACATCTTCAGAAGGTGCTGTGGTTTTTTATTATTTTATGAAGGCTATTTGAGAAGACGAGTGATTCATGGTATTTTTTGACAAGCTTTCTGATACCTCTGTTCCTCAGCTCCAGACCTTCAGAGCTCAGTGCTGTAGCAGCAGACTGTCTGTAAGCTGAGCAGGTTTTCCCCTCAAAATCCATCCACACAGCTCCATAACCAGAGAGGAAGATTGGGAGCAACCTTTTTGCCCATTCCCTGCCCCACAGCCAGGCTGAGCAAGTCTCCTCTGTCTCTAGCCCTCCCTCACTCTGTTTCCAAAACACACACTAGCTTAAAATGCCAGGTCTGGAAATTTAACAGTAAATAGTAATACCCTGCCCCTATATTTTGGCAACACAGTAACAAGATAGCAGACAATATCCCTGTCCTTGAGATATTTATACTGCCAGCATGGCTGCAAAGTATTCCTATCTGTATCTTAAAAAAGAGGGAGCTGAGGCACAGAAGGATTAAAGGATATAGTTAGACCACCTACCAAGGCATGTGTAAGAGACGTATATTTCTGTGATTCAAAAGACTGAAGGAGTGTTTAACCTCCTATTGCCAGGCCTTGGCTCCCTACAAGAAGTCATTAAAAAGAAGCAAGAGTTGTATTTGGTTCCCTTCTCTGAGTAACTTAGCACAATGCAACACACCACCTCATTCACCATATAAAAAATTTGTCTCCTGCCTGGAGAGCAAGAGCTGAGAACCTCTCATTGCTCCTTTTAGCCCAGATCCTGGAGCTCATCTCCCAGCAGACACAGCTTGGCGTGATTCACCACATGGCGAGTGCTGGTAGGAACAGATTCAAACCCCATCTACCTCTAACTCAGTCCTTCACTGTCAGTGACATTTCATTAGCTTGCCACTTCAGGAACAGGGTTTTGCACAACACAACCCTGCTGCATGCAGCCACTTCCAGCCCAGAGCAGAGCAACTTGATTATACCTTCACCCATTCACTTACTTAGTCTAGATCTCAAAAGATAGTCACCATGGGTTTCACAGTTTGTTTATAAAAGCAGCATTGCTCCTTAAATATACTTCTCAGCTGTCTTTCCAAGCCGGCAAAGTGGTCATTCTTACAGGTCAGTCCAAAGAGGGTAAGAACACAGACTCTAGACAAACATCCCCATCCCGGGGCTTATCTCTGCTCCTACTGCGTTGTAATGGTTTGAATCAGGTGTAAGACAAGAAACGTGCTGTAGCCCTGGGACACCAGAGGGTGACTGTTACCAGTTTCATTTTACAGATGAGGAAGCCAAGGCTTGTGAGGTGAAGCCATCTGCCCAAGGCAACAACATATTGGCAAAGCCAGGATGAGGTGAGTTTGTTTAAAACAGCTGGGGGAGATGTCTAACAATGTTAAAGAAGTCAGGAGCTCAGTATGGTTTAACCAGTCACTAAACTCCCTCCTGCAGCTTTCCACAGTGCACAGCCCATATGTTGGTGAGGTTACTCACACTCACCAAGGAAAAACGCTCCAAATATCACTTCTCTCTGTCACAGTATTGTCCTTGTACTCCAACCTCCGCTCATTTGTTTGCCAAGTATTTCCTGTGGATCCCATTGTGATTTTTCCTTGCAGGATGCCCTGGGAGCAACAGCTGCAGCCTGCTGACGCCACCTGACTGATGCAAGGAATGCACATGGGCTGGGGAAGGGAGCAGGGCCAGGAAGGGCTGTGTTGCCCTGGGAAGCTCCAGAGTCTTCATCCTCAGAGAGATGGAAAACCTGACTGGGCATGGTCTTGGTCAGCCTGCTTGAGGTGGCCCTGCTTGAGCAGGGGATTGGACCTTCCAACCCCAACCAGTCTGTGACTGTGTGAAGAAATGAGGGAAGAAAGAAGGAAGTGAAGGAGAGGAAGCAGAGAAAGGACATGGCTTCTGGCTGCCCAGGGACCAAGCAGAGTCAAATGATGTCAATGAGACATTTCCCACCTCTGAACTGATGAGAGCCTCACATGTTCAGCCTCACAGGGTCCAAACTAAAACCCAGGCAGAGCTCTCCTCCTCTCCTAGTCCCCCGTAGGTACCTCTGTTCTAGTCCTGTCCCTGTCATACCACTGTCCCACCACTGGTTATTTACCCTACAAGAGCCATTCCCTGCTCTCAGGCACTGCAGGCCAAAGACATCTTCCATAAGCCAGTGCATACATGGGCCTGATTCAGCATCCCTGAAAGACAAAAGTGTTCTTGTACTTCATGCCTGAACAACCTGAAACACAGATTAAGTAGTACCAGGTGTTACAAAGACCATGTCTTTACATCAGCACTTGGGAGCCCTTCTCTCCTTGATTCTCAGCATTTTGGTAGCACAACACTTTGGGACCAATCTATTTGGAAGCACCAAAGACAAACCATTTTCAATACCTTCCAATAAGATTATTCATCATTTCCATCTACAGAGACTCATATCTGATAGGCCATCACCATATACACAGATTCCAGGCATATTGCCTAAAAAATGTACAATCCAGTGTAAATGGAAAGGTAAGATTTAACCTTAAATGAGCAGAACACTCACTCGGGTATAAGCAATACAACCCAGAGGCAACTCTGATAAAAGGTAACTCCTTTCATCCCAAGAGACAGCTATGCACCAATATATGCCATAGCCAGGTGTGCTTTGCTAACGAGCCAGAGCCCCATCTGCAAGCAGCTTAATCAGCTCTCCCTGCATTAACTTGGGTCTCACACTGCCTTGGTGGTTTTCTTATCATTCCACTGCTGATATCCTGAGGCTGGTTTCGTTTTGAGAGGTAAGAAGAAAGCTTTTAGCTCTCTCAGGGTCTCAGCAAAATCCTGACCCAGGCATTTAGACTATGGTGGCAGAAAGGTAAAAAGGTGTGATTTGATACCCACCTTTTAATCCTTGTTGAGCCAAGTTCACAGTTCAAGGGAGGGCTGAGCACTTCGAATGAGTAAAGTCTGCAGTGTTAAATCTACAGTCTTCTTCCACGGGAAAAAAACAGTCACGTAATCTTCCTCATTTCATGAAAGAGCCCACTGAGGATACTTCCTTCCTCTCCTTTTCCCTGAAGTGCTCACATGCTAAATGACACACAGGACAGTATACAGGAAAAAAGGTCAAACGGTATTAACAACAGGGGAGACATCTATCTCGATTTTCCTTTCCTGAGAACTTAAAAATTCCCATAACTTCATTGCTACAGAGCACCATCTAGCAAAAACCAGTGCAGCACCACTGATTTCAGTGAAACTTTGGTTCATTCGGAAACCAGGACTGGTATCAGCAGAGGGGGTTTTTTGTTATGCTCGTTTGGAAGAAGAGAAATAGCATCGTCATTGTGAAACGCATGCTGAATTTCATCAGAACATGCAGGCCCTGGAGGAAGAGGCAGCATGAGACCTGGGTTGTTGAGGTGAGAGAGAGAATTCATTTCATGCCCCAGCACAAGGTTGCCAGCAGTGAACTGGGGCCTTGTAGGTTTAAAGCCAGTATGCACACACAGAGTATGCACAGCAGTTATGTGGCTAATGTGCCCTTTTTATTTCAAAGGTGGTAACCCAAAACCTTAAATATAACCCTAACTATATATAATATTATATATAATGCATTTTAATCTGCTACAAGTATGGTCCCTCAGCATGAACATATTTACACGCCTGGCCATTTCTCAGCATAAGTAATACCTCGCTTGGGCTTCATTTTTCCTCCTGTGAACTTCACATCTGATAAGCATTAAAATCCAGTCAAAA